CAACTGTTGGGTCTGAGACTTACTGATCAGTTCATACCATACAAATATTATGATCATTTTCTTGTACACAAACATCACCCACCTGAAGGGCCCAGAACATCAACAAACCAAACTCTCCATTTCAGATTAGTATAGTATACCACTACAAAAAAAAAAAAAAGGCAAAGTGCCATTTACTACGCCATTCCCATTGTAAAATTACTAATATGGACAGCCAAGTTGCAAACAACACACACACAAGTTACTTTAAATCCACTGGATTTAAGACTTTCCAGACCCTTCTTGATTTTAACTGGAAGATCAATCTCGCTGAGTTAATCCCATAAGGGGGTATTTTAAAAGGCTTTTCTGAGAGGTTGTGTTAGCATTATGAAAACATAGTGGAGCAAGGCAGCAGAGATTACTCAGCTACATGAATCCAGCTTCCATTGTACTCACTGCTAAAGCTTGAAGCCACCTAAAGCTTGTGGTACCTTCAGGACGTCAGTGAGAAAAGTTGACATTCTCCCCCTCAACCCTTCATGTTCAAGTCTAGTCTTCCACTAGCATGAAACCTGCAGCATACTTCTTCATTTGAAATTTTTGACAGATTTTAACAATGTACATGTTGTGGGTTTCTTCGAAGTAGTTTTTAAGCATTCCACTAATTCAAAAGCAAGTGTAAACTAACATACTTCTGTAAAAGTGTAGGTAATAGAAAAAAAGGACAGTTTCACTAGACTAGTTTAAGTCAAAGTTACATATTGGTCACTTACTGGTGAAAGCACTACCTACATACCAGTGATTGTTACTACAGGTCTGTCTTCTGCTGAAAATACCAACTTAGGCACATATACAAAACTCAAAAATTCTGCTGAAAGCTGGGGATTAGAAACAGGTTAGCTTGTTAAAACTACTGCTTACACTGGAAGAAAAAAAGGTTTCACAATGCACTATCCAAAGGAAGTCTTTGGCCACAATGTGAAACAGGAACAGTCCTTTAACAGCCACTCCAGCTTTTCCAGATGCAGCGACTAGGTAGTTTTATCTGTAATCTCAAATGCTGTGATACTAAAGATTAAAATCACCGTCCAATTGTGATACAGCTGTATTATGAAATAGTAATTATACTTTAGACTAGCTGTCACCAGCATTTTCCAATACAGAGCTTCATTCTTAAGTATGCTGAAATTGCACCTTAAGAAAAGCACTCATTTGCTAATGGGACGTCTATAAAATTGCCTTTGTTGAATTCTCACAGAGGAAGCTTTTTAATCCCAAATTAGCTATGTTTAATAATAGCATTTTTAAATAACCACTACTAGTGACAGAATTACATGCATTCTTCATCCCACTGAAGAGGAAAAAGAAAATCTGGAAACGTTACTTTAGATAGGAGAACAATACTCGAAACGCTAAACTTGGAACCAGGAACCCAGTACCTGATATATTCAGTTCCTGGCTTTCAATGACTGAGTTCATGGAAAATCCTTTGAACTACTATGATTGCTAACCCATCAGTTTAAAAAGACATACTGAATCATCTGTGAAGCACTGTGGTTTTTTAGACCTAAAGTGTTTAACATTAAATAGTATCAGTTTACACTCAACATTTACTCTCAACAGTCACTTAGCATTGAGGTGGACACGCTACAATTGAAGAGTTAAAGCCCACAACCTCCCTAGTAACTACAGATGAGGATTTTAGGTACTGCAAGTCATTCAAGTACCAGAATGTCTACTCTTACTTACCATTATCTTCTCTGCAGTCAAATGGCATAGGCTATTCTACTGGCTGCACAGCAGAACTAAGAATGCATTTCATAACTTCCTTAGTGCAAAGAAAATAAGTAGTAAGATTCAATGCCTTTTCTACACATTAGTGACCAAAACAAGTAAAATTGTATGGTCATGCTAACTGTGCTAACAGAGGTAGTGAACTGTCATCATTCATCAGCCAAATGGATCATTCTCGGACTAGAGGGAATCCAGATTTCTGACACTGCTAGCTTTACTTAAATGACTGTCAGAAAGTAAGTGTCCATGCCAAAGCCAATGCTCAGTTTCACAAACATTCAGGAATGAAGCAACTCTTGGAACTGAAATGTATCTTGTGATTCAAACTTTAAATATTTAAGCTGTATTTAATAATCTATTACTTACATACTATGACTGTGTTTTATAGATTGTCACAGATGCTTAAAAAAAAAAAAGAGGTTTTGACTGTGTACCTGGAAGTCTGACCATCTAAAGCAGCTTTCATGAATATAGCTTGAAGTAATCAATGTAACCTAATGTTTCCAGATGAGCTCAGCTGTGCAACATCCACTTGAGACCTCGCCATTTAAAAATATGTATGTTTGTGGAAAAAACTAGTAACCAGTTATATACTGCAAAGAAAAACATATTATTACATGAGACAATCACCCCCCTCTCCAAATTCCAAGTAAACTAACAAGCTAGGACTAGTAGCACTTTTCAACCAATCTATCTATTGTAACAATCAAGGCAAAGAAGCACCAAAAGTCACTCTGTCATCCTGTGGATTTTTATAACACAAGTATGAATAATTAAACACTTGCAAAGTGTGGACCAGATGGCTATGTGAAAGCTGGTCTCCCAGAAAAAAAAGTTTAACATCAGAGCTTCTAGGAGGCTTTATGTTTGTTCACACTAGTTGGCTGTAAAGTAACAATTAGTAATTTATTCCTTCTCCCACCACTACCCGTATTAAGGATCAAGGAATCTTCAGCTTGACTTCCTCTCCTGTTGCCACACACCATTTGTATCTGACAGAGCAAATGACAAAGTACAATCTGGTGTTTCCTCTGCCCAACTACTGCAACTAGCTAGCCCCCGCCAAGAGATGTCACATGCTGGAGTTAATTCAGCAAGTCACTTGGCGAAGACAGACTTCAGTTTATCATAGCCAGTCCTATAGTTGGGATTCATAAGCTTCAGGCTATGAACACAAACTCAAGCTCCAACTCTACCAATTTCAATTCTCAGAACACCACATAGTAAAGTTTATTGCCTTATTGCCTACTTCCAAAACTTGCTATTCCATTTTAAACAATTAACATTTTCCATCAAGTTTTCACAAATGCAAGTGAAGGAATAACAGTCTTAATTTTGTGGAATATATCAACTTGAACACACACTTTCCAAGTGTTACATGTGTTTATGTCCACGTTGCCTTTCAGTTTTTATTTCTTTTAAAAAAAACAGAAAGTCTCCCCTCACTGATGTATAGGAAGCATGAAAGTCACTGCTAGGCTGAAGACAAAAGTTAAAACCTCTGAAAAATTATCAAAGGCATAAGGGGAAAAAAAAGTTGCAGCCATATATAACATTTTTACCATGAATATTAACTTGGAAATCCTACCTTCAGAGGAGGCTAAGTTTATTTCAGACTACGTAATACCCCTCACCTCCAACAAGAACAGAATTAGTATTCCTTATTTTAGATTTTAAGACAGTATTTAGGTAAGAGTTGTACAATGCAGAAATTCAGAAACTGGTCTGAGCATCTGTAATAACAGCCCTCCTCCAAACACTAAAAACACAAACTTAGGTCCTGGGTCATAACAAATATCTTTAAAGAAAAAAAAAAAAAAGCCAACACAAACAAGCAAAAAAAACCCAACCAAACAAAAAACCAGCACCCCCAAAATATACAGTTGCATGCCCTGTATGAAGCCCTTCAAACAAAAATGAATATTAAAACGAGAATAATTTTAAAAGCTGTGTATTGGAGTGTTTATAAACCAGAAGTGTTAAGCAGCAGCAGTACTTTCCAATTTCTTAATAAATTCACCTAGGCTTCAAATTTAGGAGCACATGACAAACCAATGTGGAACTATGCTAGCTCATATTCAAACCCTTGCAGGTGTTTCAGTAAAGAAAGCCTCCTATGAGAATAAACAGAGGCAGCATAATACATTAAGTCAACACTTGCCTTCAACATGCCAAAAAGAATTGTGTATTATATGCCCGTTCCCCACAAAGCACCCCTCAAGAGATGCATTATTGCTGTAGAACATTCCAAGTTTACCAACACCCAAGTGCAACCAAACTGATGTTGTATATATGCACTTGCCCATTCTCATCAGTATGCCCATACTTAATAATGAACGGTTTTTCTTTACACAAATTTAAAGCTTTGAAAATAACATTTTTTGATTTTAGTTTTTTTCCACAATACTAATCACCACATGCAATTTAGTTTTCTGATCATTTTGCTAAAAAACTGCACCAATATCAGAACAGTGCAAATCATATTTAATTTTAAAAGTTATAATGGCTTGAGTTCATAATTAGAGGGAACACTGTCAAGATCTTGGTATTTTGCTCACTCACCATTGCTTGCATTCCATTAAAAACAAACACTTTCCTGTCAGTTTTGCCTTTTTTTTTTTTTAATAGTCCTAATCCAAAAAATATTTCCCCCCCCCCCCCCCCCCCGACACATTTCCAGACTAAGAGCTAGTCACTAGCACTTGTGACCCCACAAGTGTTCTAAGTTTTTCAGCAATGGAGAGATTTCAAGAATTACAAACCTGAGGACTTCCCCTCTTCTACAGCCCCCAGTGTTTTCATTTTATAGCAAGTTCAAAATTGGTTTCCACATCTTGACAGTGTTCCTTATAAAACCATATGACAGTAAAAGTGCCAGTAGGCATGGCAACCTCTTTGAAGGGAGCATTTAAACTCCTTGGCACTGGGAATGCCAGCACCAAGGATTACATTGAAATTCAAAATTATACTTAAGGCTACAATTAGCAAACCCACTTTCCATAAGCCTAGTATTCTATCACTAGATTTGAAAATTCAGAAGCTAACGCAACTGTATACTTTTATGCTCAAATTTGAGGACAAAGTTGCTTTTCTTTAGCAAGGGTAGTATATGAAACTGTGGCAGCAAATGTCTCTTACGCATTGACTACTCATTTCGCCATCATTCACTTACTTTGTCTTAAAGTTCAAAACTGGCAAGGCACATTTACATATTCCAATGAATACTTGACAATTTTAAATTACACTTCATGTCCCAGCTATCCCAGTAATTGACATACAACATACTAAAATGGTTTATTAAGATAACAAAAAAAAAAAATCAATTATTGTGAAACATACAGGCTATTGGCAACCACTATTCTAAAAATTATGTAAATACAAGTAAACATACTGAAATGTGTGCGATTCTAAGTTTTTAACGAGAAGATCTCTGTACTAACACACATTTATATTAATGACACATAAAAAAAATAAAAACTTTATTACAAAAATAAGTTACACTCGCCTCCAGCTTACAGTATAAAACAATTTTATTTGCAGGAATGAAAAATGATTGTTTGCCATGAGCATTTTCAACATATGACATGTCTAATTTTGTTAAAATTTGCATTTACTGGGGGAACTGGTGTGTATAAAACCTTAATTAGGTATAAGCTTCAATTTTCATTGTGGTGCCTATGGGTATGTAGTATAACTGCAGTATCCCTTTGGGCAGGGGGTTAAGGGAAGCTCTTTATGCCAAGTCCAGAGTAAGTCATAGTTTTATCTATCTTTTACCTATATGAAGTTGGACTTGGCAAGGTTCTTCTGGTTTTATCTTCTTTAAGGGCGGTTCAACAGAGGATGCTTCACCACTGAACACTCACTGTCATCAAGGTGCTTTAGAAAATTAAAAACATAGCACAAATGATTGTACTCTACTCTACTCTACAGGTTATCATGATCTGCATAAGAGAAATGGAAAGCTGATCCACATGTTTTTACAGTGATCAGCAATAAGAAATGCACTAATGAAAACATACCTTTTACCTAAAAAGCTAAACTACAGCCATATACTATTCTATGATTTATGAAAAACTTCAAAATATCCAAATGTCAGGCTTCACTGTACAGTTGTCAGTTTTAGTCTGACCTTTTATAAAGGGACACTGCAGTATTTAGTACAAGTTGCTGATGCACTTTTTTTGAACATCTGATGTCTTACAAAAGTAACATCTTGCTAAACTATTATACATCCAAATAACTACAATATCTGAAGAAGCAAGGCTGCTTTTTCAGCCACAAAATACGACAAAAGCAAGGCCTGTTATGATGGTCATGAGGAAGTCTTACAAAGCCTCTGGAACTAAAGGCAACTAAGAATGTTACATTTGGTATATTATAATCTTACCCTCATATCATATTAAACAAGCCTTGCTTTTATCTACAAAGATTTTCTATGTACAGTACAGACAGGGTATAGTTCAATCCTCTGCTACTGAGGTAGTTAACCAACCCTTTAAAAAAGGTTCTGAAAAGAACCACTATCTGGAATGCCTGACTAACCAGCTCTGATGATTACACCTGAAACTGCTGTATCTGAACACAATTCATAAGTGATTACTATATAGACAATCATGATTAACCTTCATGAGCAGAAATAAAATTTAAGGATACCAATGGTGGTATTCATCTATACCACTGCAATAAAAATTTAAATGCAAGAATTTGTGAATACCACTTTTGGAATCCTTAACTAAGAAAACTTGGGGGAAAAATCTACTTAGAGCAGATTTTTTAAAGAACAACTTTATTCTTTATTAAGATACCATGCTAGACGTTAAGGATTTTGTTGAACACATTGGGGAAATAGAGTAGCTTTAGTTTAATAACTTGCACTGCAGAGAAAACTGTTAAAGAAATTCATTTCAAAGTCCAAGTATTAGTTCAAATGTCCCATATTTGAATCCATGATCTTCGCAGGAAGGTCTTTTGCAACAGAATATGCTCCTATACAGCTGAGATACTTAAGGTTGCTTGATATCCTTACCATTACTCCACTGCAAGCTTCTGGTGTAATCCCACATAGCAAGTCAGTCTTCATTGTAACAGGTCAGGACCGGCCTCGACCCCTTTTCCCTGCTAGCCAGGTAACAAAAGGAATCAATTAGATAAATCATTTTAAACTCTGGTCTGTACATTTGTTAACATAAAATCCTAGCAAAATGAATTATTTCAAAATAAAACTACTAGACAAGAACATTTTGCCTTCTGATTGCCACTAGCTTTGGAATTTTTCTATGGGTCTTTTACCACTTTGTCACAAACTGATTTTATTTAAAAAGTTAAGCTTTAAACCTTGTATACCAGCTAAGGTTTTGCGCACTGAGTCACAAACAACTATACATTATAGAAAATTCCCAGTAACAGTAATATAAAACTTGGTGGTTACAGTCATCATGAAAACATGTTGAAAACTGAGTCAAGTCTAAGCATAACGTGACTTGCGATCTAGTTTGAATTTCAATGGCCTAACTGCTTTAGGCACAACTTTTACAGAAGATCACATCTTTAAGGTGCAGTTCTTGCTTTTTTTTTTTTTTTTTAAATGGTGTTCAGAACCTAAGATAGTAGGGCCAAAATGATAAAGAAAAAAAATACCTAGCAACCATTTTCAAGGCAGTTTTCAAGACGACTCATTTAGCTGAAAAGCACCACTGAAAAAAACAGACTAAAAAAAGTCTA